CCATAGCTCTATTTTTGTCATTGACCCATAGTAAAATTATCACAGTATAATAATGTTTGCTATGACAACTCAAAATTCTGAGTACCACAACAGGGCGCCAGTCTATAATTATTGTTCAACTTAAAATAAACTGTCTCCGTTCCTCGGTTAGTGGTGCATGATACGCTATGAGTAACACAAATGAGCCTTTGTTTCTGTAGCTTCTGCTTTAAGAAAAAAATACAAATGTCAAAGTGAGGGAAAAGGTGGGAATGAAAGCCCACAATGGAGATTTTACAAATGGCTGTGGTTCAGTTACTCCAACATCATTTCCTATATGTAAAAATGGATATTTCCGGTGGTCATTCTGGTCTGCTGTTCAAACATTTCTCAGCATCTTTATTACATCCTTTAATCTGTGGCAACAGCGTCACATGGTCGTGCCCTCATGGCATCTGTTACGTCAAAAAGGAAAAGGCCTGTTATTACACAGTTGAGGCTGGAGATTAATCTATAATTGGTAAATGCATCAGCATCAGATTGGTAAATGCTCCTTCTGCTCCTTTTAGCCCTAAACTGTAATGCCTGTTTTATTGTGACTAATAGTGGCAGTAGAAAAGCACTTACTCTGTATTTGGAGCAGAGCCAGCAGAGTGGGACAAATGGAGCGACCCATTCAGTACTTTTAAATTCTTTTTAAGACCTCTTCGCTCTGGCTTGGTGCTGACACAAAAGGAGGTATTGATGTACGGCAAAGACTGAAGCTTTGTGTTATGCCCACCAGAACTGGCTGAGGAAACAGTTCTTTCACAGACCTTAATTCAAAATGCAAATGGTGGCACATCTTGTCCTCAAGAAACCTACAGTAGGCCTATTTTATTTGAGCCATGCAGTACATTAGTAACACACAACATGGACACTTTAAGAAAACACATTTTGACTTGTTTTTCTCTTTAATTCTGTTTGTGAAAAGAAATAAAAGCACAGGAATGTAGAAAACGTTGTAAATGTTTTTGGGATTTTCTGACATGGCGGTTTGCGGCTTTAAATTGTCTCAGTAAGGGATCCGCGTCTGGGTTTAAAATATATGTATTATGAGTGTATTTCCACATAGAAAACAAATGAAACATAAGTAAATATAGGAATGACACCTATTCACTGAGGATCAGAGCGGCGCTTTGTTGTCTTGTTTTCTTTGCACCACCTGCTAACCTTACTCCGAGTATTTACTTAAACTCTCCCCTCACCCACAAAGCCATTGTTTGTACTGCAGGGGGCTGACTGAAACTAAATGTCATGCTAGATGGCTAAAACCATGAAACGTACATGTTATTTAAAACTAAAATGGATATCTAAATTTAGAGTGGGAGTAATGCTTTATGTTTTCTTGTGGGACTGGGTACAGGGGTTGGCAGTACTGTGCGTAAACACTGAGCTCATAATCAAAATGATAAAGGGTGTTCCAGTGTAAACAAATGCAAACCAAGAGAAAACCAACTAGGGAAGTCAAAGATTACTCTGTGTTTGGTTAGAAAATCCCTGGTGTTTATCACGTCACATGTAATCTAGTAGTATAACAGGCCTTTTCTTGGGATGATTAAACCTTAAAGCATCAACAAAATTCAAACACAAAGTAGTCAAAGTATAAATGCGAATTGAGTGTACACTCTTTGTAAAAGTTGACAATTTTCTTGAGAATAAGTATTTTCAGAGTGTTTTTAACAGCACATTTTTGGCAAACACCTCACAGACAACATCTAGGCTGTATTGTAAGGATGAAAATCGGGTACTGCATTTTTTAAGCCACCACAGTCGTCACAATAACTGTTATTTGGTGTCTTTATACATTTTGGTGGCTGTGCTAAATGTACACTCGTCAGACAGCTTGAGCCCTTTGTCCGTGTCTCAGGGGCATTTCTTGCATCTTTTGCTGAATCTTCCTGAGTAAATGGGCGTCCATTTCCGTTCTCTCACAGGCTTTTATAGTGTGGTCAACCACAAGGGAGTGCTGAAAGTAACAACAACAACAAAAAGTGGTGTTAGGTTACGAAGAAATTTAGAAATGTTACTCAGTAAAAATAATGTCAAAAATAATCAATAATTCTGTGAAAATGTGATTCAAAATGCATTCATATTTTAAGCGCCTATTTGTGATTTCAAAAGTCTTCAGTGACACAGCATGATCAAACAGTTGCTGACTTCCTGCTGAAAGATGACTAGACACATAGATGAGAACAACAAGATTGCAAGGGATGTATGTAGATAAAGTTTTGGTACACTGTTGATTAGTTTGTGCTGTTATGGTTATTTGTGTATGAGAAAAACTGGTTCATACTTATGTCTACAGTGCTTTTAGAAACTATGCTGACATCCATGCAGTTGCAACAGGACAACTAAACTACATCAGATCTTTCATGTCTGTCTATGTGTGAAGAAAAAAAAATGCACTCATAAACCCACCAGGTTACCATTTCCTGTTTTCGGTTAAAATTTGAAAAAATGTCTGTCTTTAATAACAGCAAGACAGCTCGCATGACATTTGATCCCATGTCAATAAATGCCTGTGAAAAACAGGTTTTATTGCCAGCATTTTATTTGAAGCAGCGTGATATTGGCCAGGAAGTGCTTCCTATGCAAAGTTTGCCACAAGGCTTTATGCAACTTCTGCTGATACACAGGAAAACTGCCCATATGGATTTTATGCATACTTGGTCAAAGATGAGAGAAAACTCAATAATAGTGACATTTCCAATACGCCAGTTTTATGTGATGAAAACTACTTAATTTGTCTCCTCATCACTCATCAGTTGCTTACAGTGAGTTTGGAGCATTGAAATTCTGTGCCCACTCCTCTCATAGTCAGTCATTATCACATGCAACAACCTGAGTTTTATGAACAGCATTCCTCAGTGTGGCATAATTTACAGCATATTTAGATTTATGTCTCCTCCTCAACCATCATTATCGCCTGCAACAGCTCAACTTTTATGCATGGCTCTGAGACACGTCTGAATTAACTTAATTTTGTGTCTGTTTATCACAGATCTTCCAGTGCAGTATCATTCAGATCCTCTGCTGTTTTGCATATTTCAAACCCCTCACAGTTGATGTGGCAGGGCACCATATAACAGAGCAGGAGGGTGGGGTTACCTAAATGCCCTCATTTTACTGCAGAGAGGGGAGGGGGGATGAGAAGGCTTTAATTCAGTGGAAAGTGGTTATTCTATATTTGATCCAACCATACAGTTACTCCACCCTCCACACGTCCCACATAAAGCCACTCCAATATAAGAGTTTATGAATGTTGAATCTCTCCTCATTAGGTTTAGTCTCAGACGCTGCAAACCTGGGAACACTTTTTATAAAAATAGAACAGCCAGCCCAAACTAACCAGATAATGACCTGTTGATATGAGCAAACGTACTTAAAGTGCACGGAGGTGGCTTTTCTTAGCATGTGTGAGAGTTCAGATGAGTGCATTAATAAATATTCACTTTTTTCGTGTAAAAGAGAATGACTGAGGCTGAAAAAGAAACTGTATAAACGACAGCCTTCCTGAATTTCTGTAAGCGGGTGGGGTCAGGTGGACGAAAATGACTTGGACCACATTATATGTAAAGTTGAGGTAATTACTAGGTTTGCAGACTTAAATAGCTAGGCCCACAGTGGTAAACACACTGGAAGTCGAGGCAGCCTTCACAGTGTTCTTCCTTCTTGCCTCCTCAGAGACAAACTAGTCAGTATACAGAAAGCTTAAACATATGGTTTAGGTAGAACAAAAAAAAAGCACCAGGGACACTTGAATTAACCACTCGAACGAAGTCAGTGAATGCTTTTGTTTCACAACTAACACTATGAAATAAACTGTTTTTGTTTTTATAGATTTCTTTTTTTCTTGCACAAACCACAAAACAGCTCAAAAAACTTATATGCACACAAATAGATCTGGAGCAGTCATGAGAAGTCTAACTGGTAATGGACCAAATAACCAGAGTAGCTTAATGGTGCCAGTAGACTCTATCAGAAGTGCTTGTAAGATAGTCAAATAGCTCCAGAAACCCCCTTCCCCCTTCCTAAAGTTCCATAACCCAACCCCTCAGTCCAATGCAATACAACAACCCTGCAACAAAAGCTACCTTTGTGTTTTTTTGTTGTTTTTAGGCTATGTTAGAGTGATTTTAGCACTGGCAATGTCATTCTGTTGGTCCACCACTTCTGTCCACACTGAACATATCCATGATGCCTGGTGATGAATCCTGGTGATACCTAGATTTTCATCCAGCACCACCATGATGTTAACATTTCTGGTTTTGAGTAGAATGTCTTCAAATATTAGCGCACACATTTATGTTCTTAAAATTTTCATATAGTGCCAACTTTAGGCCAAAATTTCAGTTAGTCCAATACTTTGTTTTATGATCAAATAACCATTGTGTGAACATGTTAAACATTAAGCCTGCTAAACATCATCATGTTAGCTCTGTCATTGTGAGCATGTTAGCATTTACCTCAAAGCACCACTGTGCCTGAGTTCTTGTGACTGTGTCAGGGAGGTGTTGAACCAACTGTGGTCATTTTTGAGGTTGTACTGTTGTTCAGCAAATAATCTGTAAATGCTCCTTCAGTGTTGGTGAGTCCACTTGTACCCACCGTTCCTCTTTGCTAATGTAGTGCTGCTTTTAGTATAACTTTAGCAAAGACAGGCTGTACGAGCAGACTCCCATTAATACTCATTGAAGTGGGATGCTCTATTAGAAGCTAGGAAGGTTGTATTGATTGCAGGTGAATTTTTCACAGTGTACTGTATTGAGTGTTTACACCTCATGGTTATTTTTTACATTGCTCAACCACATTACATCCTGTTGTTGCTAAACTAGATTAAAAAAGATAAGTGACAAAGATGACAAAAATGGAGAAGTTGTGCTCTTGAATGTAACCTCTTTCAGACAAGGTAACTAAATTACAGTTTTGCCACACTTATGGATGCAGCATTTTCATGCCAAAAGTGAGATGTTTTACAGTTTATGTAAAATAAGGTTTATTGTCACAAAACAAAATGCAAAAGGAACAGATTGGAACATCAGCTAACAGCTTGGCATGCCAAAGTATCAGGGCCTCTTTTTATCACCAGCCAAGAGACTTGTGTCAACAGACAGAGACCTGCCGACCAACCTTACACTATCCTGCAAACCAGCTGCAGTTGGAATGTTTGCATACAGTGGCAGTGTAAACATATGTTTTTACAGAATGGGTCCTTACAGTCCTGCGGACAACTTCAAACAACTTTTGGCCAATTACAAACATGCATGTACAGCAAACTACAGTAGGCAATACGTGTGCAAGAAAAGTACCCTTACACAGGGGGAGAGAACCTCTGGAGCACATTCAGAGCTGGAGTTATGACTTTTAGCAAAGCGAAGAAATAAATAACCATACATTACTTCTAAAGGATCAAGACTCAATCTGAATCTCATACATAGAATTCACATGGCAAAACATTGCTATTTCCTCCAAGCATTGCTATACAAAGCAATTGATTTTTTTCTCTTTTTGGCTATGCATGAACATTTCGTTTCAAGTTTCTTTGGTGTAAAAGCAGCTTATGTCGCTAGCTCAGAAGTTGCTGGACAAAAATAACTAGCAGAAGTTCCTGGAAGTGTTTGAAACAGCTCATTATTGTTTACAAAATCCATCAGGACTTTCCTATATTTGCTAAGGAAATATATTTGAACAGGCTTGCAGGACAAGCCAACGATACAGTTTGCATTAAACAGAGAAAACAGTCGGAAGTGCAAAAACAAAGATAGCTATTCTCACCATGCTATATCCATATATAAAGTTTTAATAATGTTTCAAACACCCTGGCTTCAATACTTATTGAAGTTTAAGAAAAACTTATTGCTTTATATGTATTTTCCACTCAACAATACATTTTCTTCATCAATCTATTTTAAATAGTAAAAAACTTTAAATAGCACACTATCAGAAAATATATAGTTCTCAGTATCAGGATAAACAACCCTAATAAATATCAGTGATTCCAGAGTTTTTCGAAAGGGTGTTTTCCTGCATCAAGGTTCAGAGTTCATGTCCGTAAAACTCTATAAAAAGTTGAACACTTTGTCCTCAATCAAACTAATAGACTTGTCTGTAAGCATTTCTTCACTGCTTACCGATTTATATCCAAAAAGCTTCAGTGTTGGCCCACAAACTTTCTGTACAACCTGGGCTATTTTGAATGGTAAATTGAACCTCCATTTCTCTACTTGTTCTGATGAATTTTTCTGTGTGGAGTAAACACCGCTGGTCTCCTTAGAGGCCTGGATGTTCCTCAAGATCCAGGATTTCACTTGTGGAGGGAACGGGATTCCAGTAAACCTGTACATCTCTGCTGCCTTCTTCATGGGGAACCGAGCAATGTCTTCATACCTCACCAGCATGTAACGCCTGCGCAGCCACGGCGGCTGTCTGAGGCCGATCTCTGCGGACATCCTTATGTTGTCGCAATTCCCTTTCAACTTTCTTACTTCATCATCATCAATGGGCACATCCCCATCCATAGCCCACTGCTTCCAGTTCTTGTACTTAGCTTCAAAAGCCACCATGCGTGAGGCTAGTACAGCCCTAGGATCCCGGACTAGCTGAATGAACTTTATGTCAAGGCGTGGGTCCTCAGCCAGAGGACGGAGAGTCTCCAGCTGGCGCACCCTCACTGACTTGATGGCCCTGTGATCCTTTTGGAGGCAGGACTCAGACGCCATGGTCAGGTTCAGGGGCCCACAGCGTCTGGTCCTGCAGTGATAACGCTCAAAGACCCCTTTGATAGAGGGGCTGCAGACTGACTCCTCACACAGAGAGCTGCTGGACTCCCTGCGGAAGAGGGCGGTAGTGATGTGATCCACAGGGGGGGGTTCGATGAAGCTCTCCAGTAGGGAGAAGTCACACAGGAAGAGCTGCCGGAGCACGTCACGGTACGCCTTGGCTGCCACTGTGGCGTTGGTACCACCGGTCTCGAGCGTCAACATCTTCTCCACATGCCACAGCGGCTCAAACAGGTAAAACATGTTGTCACCCTTCTGGTTGAAAAACTCGCCCACAAACGAGGAGCCCGTCCTGGTGGTGGCTAACAGGAGGATGTGTTTCCTGCCCCTCCTCAACAACCCCTGGTGCTCGCTGTAGTTCTCCAGCCGCCGCTTCATCAACGTGAAGGCAGAGTCTATCTTGCTGAGTGAGGTTAAGGAACCATTGTGCTTCTGCAGTATGTGGAAGAAACCACTGGGCTGTAGAGGGGTCTGGGGGGTCTGCTTTAAGGTGAGCTTATCTGACACCCTGAAAGTGCAAGAGAAATCACAGAGTTATATTATCTTTCAGAAACAGAATGAAGTTTAGCCTTGTTATTTAACTTGACATTTGCAGTAATTTTGTGTTGGTTGGGGAGTTTTTGTAAAACATCTGTTTAAAGCTGGGAAGACATAAACATACACAAAATCTGCTGGAAAACACAAAAGCAGTTAATTCATCACTGAAATGGACTTACCTTGAGATAATGTTGTTTTCCTTCTCAATGATAACAAGTGTCACAAAAAAGACGATGGATATTGTGTATTTGATCCTCATTCTTGGAAGTAGCGGTGCCTGGATATGCCTTCTTCTTAATAGGTTCTGCCAATCTCGCAAGTCTCTAGTCACCTTCTTAAAGAGCCTTGCAGTTATTTGTATTCCCGGTTGTAGGCGATGTTTCATCCTGTAAATGAAATGAACATCAACCTGTCAGTTACACATTTTGCACATTTGAGCACGGCTGTGAGTAAACCTACTTGGGTCTCATTTCAAAACACTTTAAGGAATTTGTTTTAACTACTCATGGAAATGGGGAAGTTGACAGTCTATTATTGCATATGTAAAACTGCACTGTGATGAGTCATATTATATACAGTGCTTCTTCTTCCTACGCACCTTGTCTTCCTCTATTTGTTGTATCTGCAAAACCAGTGATGGAGACATTTACTCAGAGACAAAAATATCATATCTTAAGAAGGTAAGAATAGAAAATAGTTGAGTGTGTTTAACTGGAATCTAAGCCAGTTCTTCCCACGAGGAAGTCCTTGTTATCTTTAAGTGCACCAGTGCATTTCAGGAACATGCCCACCCACCATGCAAGACTTAAGGCTGGTTCAAATAGAAAAAAATATATTTATGAGTCAGTCTTTTGTAGACGTTATTTAAAAAATGAGCAGAAAAACAACTGTGAGGGCACAAATGAAATATGAGACTGCAATCAAGTACAATTTTGTAATTAAACTATAATTCCACAATTGTTAAACTGCCTGCTTTAAAAGTCAGAGTTGTCTGGGTTGGAGTGATAATCCTACCTCCCATTGATAGGTAGCAGAGCAGCCTATGGCCACACTGCCAGCTGTGCCTTCATGTCAAAACTGGGAGGAGATCTTTTCAACAAAGGCCCTCAGTGACATGGAACAGTACAACATCTGGTGGTGGGCTAATGGCTTGCTGCTTCCTCATAATACACCTTTATGCTTCTAAAACACTGAGATGAGGGGGACACATGTCCAAACACTGAGAGGTATAACTGCACAGTGTTGAAATTGAAGGGGAAATCCTGCTTGTCATTGAGACATAAATTATAGTGCTCTGAGCCTGCAGGCCATTCAGTACTTCTGTTGGTCTGCAGAGGGCAGGCAGTGGGTAGTAAAATTAAGCAAGAGTGGATTTAATGATGCCTATTTGGGAATGTCTCGCACATTCCTGAAAGATTGTTGTTAGTTAACTTTAAAGATAATGGCAGCTTGGTTCAGATCCCTGACTAATCTTCGGATTTCGGCATAATCCTGCCTTACCTCTTCTACCAGTGAAAGGGTCAATAACACGGCAAGAGTAAATGAGACAGTCTCCACCCTGAGGAAATTGGCAAAGTGTCATTTTGATGTGTGCCCAAAAAATAAATGCTGAAGTTAGGGTGTATAGTCGGTCTTTTTAAATCCTGAATCAGACGTCTGGGTTTGTGAAAACATTTGTTTATTGAATCTGTCAGGTGCTACACACAGTATCCTGAGTGTGCCTGTGATTTCTTATGGATCACTGTTAAACGATTGCAGGTCTAGCCTCGGGGGGCCGACACATTAGTGAAACTGCTGCTATTAATCAGCCGAGCCACAACCAACAGACCAACCTTTTCACTCACTACAGCAAGGTGCTCATGTGTTTGACATGAAACAAGCAGCACTTTGGAGGAAGTGAAAAACCTGATACATGACCCGGCTGGAGGTCCAGTTCTCACATACTGTTGCGACTTCTGTCCCTGGCCAGTTTCGAGCACAGAAGCCAGTCCAAATGACTGCAGTCTAAACACAGGGAATGGTTGGACACTGACTGCGAAATTCTCTGAGAGTGAACGGGAAGTTTACAGCTCCAATAGAGAGCACTGTTGACGTGGAACGGCGTGTAATGAAAAGGTGAACAGCCTGTGTACTGAGACGTTTTCACCGGGAGGAAAAATCAGCTCTGTCTTGCACCACCCTGCCGCATGCCACAACCACAAAGGTCTCTTTACACAGGAGTGACTCTAAACCTCCCTTGGGCTGAGATCGCGGAACATAAACTCCCAGGTCACTCACACGTCACAGGGTCAGTGACTAACCCCCCTGGATGTTACGAGTCATGTAGAACTTGTTAGATAGTCGGCTGCACCAAAGGAAATTACTGTGTCCTTAAGCCTTCAGTGTGCATTTAACATTGTGAACACAGTGACAGTTTGTGGAAGTAAACCAAACCTAAATCTACACTTATAGAACAGCATATTTGTTCTACAGTTTATTTTCTACTGTGACTGTACCTGAACAAACACCAGAAATGATTTTGCCTAATGAATAAGACATGAGTTGATTTGACATTAATTTAGTACCACAGTAATAGTGTAGTTCTGTGGGATTGAGTACGTATTTAAGCAGTTTTAGGTCTCTCAATATGTGATTTAAAATAGACCAAAAAAGGCTACATCAACAATTCAGGAAAATAAGTGGTCTGAGGTTTTGTCATTTATATGGTAAATTAGATGTACACCAATTATCTCAGCTTATTGCATCTGCTGTGTAAAGTGAAAAAACACACACATGAACGGACATTCTTGAATATTCACAAACCACTGAGGCATATGACACTTTTGATCATCTGCTCATAACAAAACCGCCACTGCACCATTTATCATCTTGCTACAAATGCTTTTAATAGCTGCCTTTTATTTAATGTTACATCTTATGTGAAGACAAATTAAACACCACCCAGCCAGACCTACTTTGCCTGAGATACAGAGAGTTTACACAGTATTGCAAGTGTTCACTGTATATTAAAAGAATATCCCAGTGCACTGGATTTTTTTTTTAGACCCAGACAGTATGTAGGCGTGATAATTACAGGATGATATGTCTCTACATACGAAAACAAAAGAATAGAAAATATAAAATTTTTGAAAAAATAAGACTAAGATTGGGTCATGATAGATTTTTTAATACTGCTTATACCAATATATCTATGTTTGTAATACATCTGATGTCATTATGGGCGATGATATAAATAAGTGAAGGGAACTTACAGTACATGATACTCTTATTACATTTATTTTATAGCTGTATTTACTGTAGTAAACAGGATTTACACACAAAAAACATCATTATATAGTAGTATTATTATGATTTTATCTATTTACATGTTTATGAATTTCCTGAAATTGTATAATTTACATGAGATACAGCAGATATGTTAATATCATGATACAAAATTACATATACTGTGATACAGTGCATTATTAAATAATATGTATCACCTTGGCCACTCAACAAAGAAAAACAAATCATGATGCATGTGTTTGGAAAGTCTGTTATTGATTAGTTTATGTGATGGTATAGAGTACCTGTTGCTATGGTTACCGACAGTTTAATGAGCGCACTTATTTAGAAAGGTGTGTTAAACTTCTTTGTCAGAGGTGATCAGAAATGCTGTTCGTCTAAAAGTCTCCAACATCATTATTTTTAATACTTTATAACAAACTGCTATTCATAAAGGCAGTGCCAACACTTCTTGGTATGACGTGTGATCAAAAGAGGCGCTTGAACTGTAGCAGTCAGGGTGTCAGGGGAGGGGTGGAGATTAGGAGAGTGGAGTATGGCATGCAGGCAACAAGCTTAATTTAGAAAAGGAGTGCAGGCGAGATTCATGCGTGTTGATAAAACAGTGGGATTTGGGGGGATTTTGAGTTTGGAGAGTAGATATAGCTAGTGGTCATCAAGCACGTTTGTTAGGAAAACAAATGACACATTATGTATATGTTATTGCTATAAATCAAGGGCAGGGACTTTGAGAGCAACTTTGCTGTTGATTTATAACCTGATTTAATTTGAACAGAATAGGGGAAAGTCAAACTTCTACAATACAACAGTGGTTATGGTCTCTGGAGAGCATGCGCCGCAATTTAAAGGTCAAAGGGACACACCGGCCAAACTGAAGTCATGCTTTCTTAATAAAAAAGACTCTTAAAGACAGCCTTTATGAGACCCTTGTTTAATATAAGCAACAGTTTTATGAGTGATTTCTGAGGTGTTATTAGAGTCCTGTGACATTATTAGTTTACAGCCAAAGGTTTAGTTATTTTTAAGGGTTTTCCCCTCTCTCCATACCCACCATCATGTGGAGCTGTGGTGTCTGAAGGCGTCCCCGCTTCGGCTCATCCGTTAAGTTGGTCAGCCTTCCCTCAAAGAGCGACTCCGGTGAGAAATTAATTCCATTACTTCCCAAGACTGCTTCACTTGTGTGACAAGAAAAAACAGTGCAATCCGAAAGAAGCAGCTTGAACAGTTTTGCTGAGTGAAACTTGTGGATCAGATGGACTCATGTTTGAGGAGGCTGCAGGTTCTCAGGCTTCCCGGTGAACTGAATGACAAGTCAGTGCAACAGTTGCGAGTCAGTGAATCACATGGCAACTTTGGCGCACTGCCACCACCCCTCACAGACCCTCTATTTCTAATCTGTAATAAGAGATGGCAAACACACTTTATACGCGTAAACCACAGAGGCAACTCTGCCAGGGTCAATAACAAGGTGTTGGCTCGATTATGGTGTTATGTGCTACTGTGATTTAGGCCTATTTTATGTTTTTTTTAGTAGTTATTGATGTAGTCTGATCAAAGGGAGATGCAAGCACTCCATCTAGTGGACAAAAGCAGACTGTGCTTCACAACTTTTACACTGACCTGTAAATTGATAGGATAATTACAACACATACAGATCCTATCTATAAAGTGATTTATTAAATTAAAAAGCAAGTCATTTACTCAAGAATTGTAGGCTACTTGTACTACATTTCAAGGGGAAATATATATGTTTTACTTCACTACTTTTATTTACTTTGCAGATCAAGATGTAGGCTATATAACATAAGATCAGTTCATAAAATATCAGATTCAGAATCAGAATCTCTGATAAATCAAAATACTTAGTGTGTCGACTGAATGCATGAAAGCAGTACTTTCCAAACCAAAACTCTCTCTACCAGCATTTTTAGAAAGAGTGCAGCTTAAATAAAATACAGGTGAACACAAAATCAAACAAGTAATATAAAAACAAAGCTATAATTAGAAAAAGAAGATGACAGAAGATGACGGGAGCGACTGTAACAGGCGCATGTGCACTAAAATGATGTCTATATATGTAAAGTAGTTAAAATTAGCTCCACCTTGAACAGTTACATTAACACATCACTCCTTACACCCGTGTAACAGTGATGTAATGAATAATATACTCTCACTCTATCTACTCATAATGCTTTATGAGTGTCCTTTGCAAATGAAACATCTGAGCTTGTACTTGAGTGAAAGATTGAATTAAATTATTAATTTATTATTATTATTATTATTATTATTATTATTATTATTATTATTATTACATTTTGGTATTGCTATTTGCGACGCGATTATAGGATTACGAAATGTGACGCGATTTAGAACTACAATTCCCATCAGACCTGTCGCTCAATGATGACGCACCCGTAGAGAATTTTCACGAAGGTTGCAAAAAACAATTGCGTCAGAAAGTTGCGCACTTGTTTCCAGAAAGGTGAAAGACGAACGCTGCTCTGTCGGTATGTGACGTTTACATCTGCGTTTCTTGGAATTACACTTGAGTTAATTCATTTTCAGTGGCTTTAGTGAATTGATTTAATCGGGCTAAGCCACGTGATGTATGTAGTTCGGGGAAAGACTGTGAAGAAATGAGTCTTTAAGTCTTTGTACGTATGTGGTGCTAACTGTTAGCTAGCTTAGTTTACTAACGTGACAGGATATAACGTTAAATAAATAATATGTATACTTTAATATTTACATATTAAAGTTTACTTTATGCACTAACCGCTCAGTGTTATTGTGACAGTAACGCTAACGTACGTAACGTGTTATATTCGTAACAAATACCCAATAGTCTGTCTGTCTGTCTGCCTGCCTGTCTGTCTGTCTGTCTGTCTGTCAGTGGTTGTACCTGTCTGTCTGTCAGTGGTTGTACCTGTCTGTCTGCCTGTCTGTCAGTGGGTGTACCTGACGCTCTGTCTCTCTGTCAGACTGATACAGATTAATACATTGTGACCATGTTGGTGGCGAGGCTGACGTGCCTGAGGAGTCTTCCTCTCGCCGGGATGCGTCCCGTGCTGTCACAGGGCTCTGCAGTCCTGAGAGCCCCCACCCTGAAGGCCTGCCCCCCCCTGCTCAGGCCCCAACAGGTACTGTCCAACAGGCACACATTCATGGCTGTCTTACATTTCTCTAAGCTTTCTGATTGCTGCTTTCACTTTTTATTATGACCACACACACACACACACACACACACACACACCAGTAAACACGTGCGACTACTATTACTGAAACTCCTATTAATCTTGGGTCACAACAGCAGATATTAAAATACTCAGATAGTTGGTGTTGAATGTAAAGGAACTACCCCCGCCTAATACATTGCATATAATACATCAAGCCTTTTAGTACATCCAAATGTATCCATCCTGTTTTAAATGGATCATCTTTTGTTGATGGAGGCAGGAAACGACTGCAGTTGGACAGTTAACACACTAAATGCCAGAGAATCCCTCTCCAATTTGTTATGTAAACCGGATTTAGCTTGTAATAAGTGTCTGGCGCTCTAGATTTTACGGTTGCCTCTTCAGAGCTGTGAGTAGGAGCAGTTGTTGACCTGCAGGTTAGGAAACTGCAGAACGATATTCAGAACGAATGTTGTTGTCATTAGAAATTAGAGATGTGGGCGACGTCGTCTGACACGAGGCTTAAAAAACTGTCCTCTAAGTCACAAATTTGAACCCTGCAGCAGCCGCCTTGTGCCATCAGTTGCTCTTTTAATTAAATCTAAACATTTGTTCTCAGTTGAAGTGAAGTTCATTAAAATGACATATACCAGTACACATGTTAAATTAGCAATGGCCTAAGGCATGTTATCATCATGTCCCTGATTGTTTTCCATCGTGATTGATAAGGCTGGGCATGAAATCCTAGCCACAAAATCAACATTTGCAGTTTTGTCAAAAGCTTTTATTTCTTTCCCCAGGGATTTTCCTCCAAGGCCAGATTTGGTTTCCGCCGTGCGAAGACAGCCAGAGACCAGTTCAAAGATGTAGCTTTTGAGCCAGCAACAGATACTGCCATCAGAAGTAAAGACTCTTACATATACTAGTTAATTATACTACGTTACATACTGTTACTTTGAATGTACTGTTTCATAACTGGAGTTTATGCTATCCACTCTATTAAACAACTCATATACAGTGTATAATATGTTATATTTCTATATAATAGAAAGGTTGTAGAAATGGTCTAAATTGCTGTAATGCCAAAATTTCCCTTTGAAGCACAAATCAAACTTTTTAACTGTGTGTCACTGTGTTTGTCTATAACACTTTTTGAGTGTTTAGGAACGGAAAACAGTTTAAAGTGTGTCCAAAATAATTATTGTTGTGTCCACAGTTGACAGCATGGGAAGAATGATTCTGGCTGGAGGTGCAGCAGTTGGCCTTGGAGCTCTGTGCTACTATGGACTCGGCATGTCCAATGAAATCGGTGCCATTGAGAAAGCAGTGTGAGTAACAGCGTTTTGTACTGAAAGCTCTTTAAAGTTGTTTTAAAGGACAGAAAGTGTTACCTTAAAAGATCTCCATACTCACCCGGTTCTTCCCTCTCTCTGCAGGATCTGGCCTCAGTACGTGAAGGACAGGATCCACTCCACCTACATGTACTTCGCAGGAAGTGTTGGGCTGACAGCTTTGTCAGCTGTAGCAGTGAGCAGGACGCCGGCACTTATGGGTCTGATGATGAGAGGATCCTGGCTGGTAAGCTTTATAACTCAATTAGCTCCAACAGAGATGGATGTGGAATTTGTTTATGTTCAAATGAAATTGAAGGCTAATACAATATGTAGCTGGTTTAGTAAAATCAGTACTTTTCAATAGTAACTCAGAAGTATTTTACATTTTTAAGTGTATTTACAGGTTATTAATATGAATGTTTGATGTCTGCTTTAACTCAGGCTATTGGAGCAACCTTTGCAGCTATGATTGGTGCTGGCATGCTGGTCAGGTCCATTTCATATGAGCAAAGCCCAATGCCCAAACACCTCGCTTGGATGCTCCATGCAGGTTTGTAAGACAGTGTGTAGTGGTAAATTCTTATTCTGTTATGTTGTCGCACTCTGCTTTGTTATTTCTGTTATGTAGTTGCCTCAATTGAACACTAGAGAGCAGTCGTGTAAAGGCTCAGAGTGTAACAGCTGCTGTTGTATTTTAAACCTCTACGCTGCATCTAGACATACGGCACAGATCTGTTTGTTGTGAACGTGGTATTCACGTCGTCTTTTTGGTTTTTTTTGTTGATCAGGTGTGATGGGTGCTGTCATCGCTCCCCTCACTCTCCTGGGAGGACCTCTGATGATGAGGGCCGCCTGGTACACAGCAGGCATCGTGGGAGGTCTGTCTACTGTGGCCATGTGTGCCCCAAGTGAGAAGTTCCTCAATATGGGCGGGCCATTGGCTGTCGGCTTTGGAGTGGTCTTCGCTTCCTCTATTGGTTAGTATAATGCAATTTCACCTTGAAAAAACCCTTCCTCAGATGTGCTACAGACAGTACTGAGTGCTATAAGTTGAAAACAATTCAAGAATACAAGAGGTCGTGTTGGCATCTTGCTTCAAGTATAAATGAGATAATAAGATATGATTGAGAAAGGCCAGTTCCAGTAATAGATTCATGAGGATGAAGGCTCATCAGACACCACGTGCGCAGTATTTTATTATGCTGTGAAACAACATTTAACACCTCTGGAAAGTTGCCACGGTGACAGCCCTTTTATCCGCCATCTCGACAGTCACAAGGTAAACAGCTGAAACACGGCGTTCATGTCACAAAGTAATCCACCATGATTGTCCTCAGCACACTCGCTGTGCCGCCTCAGTGGTCTCACTGAAATCTCCATAAAAAATTCTATATAGATTAAACGTCTAGTGTGCAGTCTGTTAAGTAAAGTGTGGTACCGTGTTTCTGTGTTTACACCTGATGATACTCAAAGTTTAGAATCATGAACATCTTAGTAAATGACACGATGTGTACTTGAGTACAAATGATTCCACTGAGCCTTTCATTAAAGACTACAGCTAAGTATATTCATACAGTACATTAAGTGTTTTTACCATGTCCCTACGGTACCACGTGAGAAATGTCACTTCTTAATAAAATCATAATATCCAGTTGATTTATGCTAATTAATTTGGTTGACGTCACACAGTAGAATATCTGTGTTCTGTATGAATTCATTTGCAACTGGTGTAAAATTATATATAGCTTAATCTTTATTGGGATCATGGCACATACTATAATACAGGCAT